CGTCACTTGCCTTGTCAAAAGTTGCAGTGGTCTCGAGACCAGCAACATTGGAACCGTGAGCCAACTCAGTCATACCGAAACATCCATAGATACCTCTAATCTTGGCAGTATGCTTGTCCAAAGCCCAGTATTTCAACTGCGCTGCTGTACCGTTACCTCTAATACATGAAAGGAACAATCCCAAGTTAATTCCCATTCTAGTTCCAACAGCAGGGTCAATAACACCAATCAAGGATTGTCTGATATTGAAAACATCGAGAGAATCCACTTCCAAGTATCTAGAGAGTCTGTTGATTTTAGCAGCAGTAAACTCTCTCAATTGCTCCTTGCTCATGTCGTAATAAGAACCATCGGTGAACAAAATGGGGTCTCTTTCCATTTGTTGAGTCAAGGTTTTGATCAATTCTGCTCTTTCTTTAGAGCCTTCCAAAAAGTATTGCATAGCTTGTGGGTTGAATTTTTGAGCTTCTCTTTCAGTTCGAATCGATGTTTTGGGGTCTGGACCTTTGCTCAAACTGACATTCTTACCGGTGAATGGATACGACATTTTTAATTAGATATACTAAAATGTGGTTAGGTTGGCTTGGAATTTTTTAAAGTAGATGTGTGATAATAATCCAATTAGAAGCTGTGATGCTAGATCGGCCTAATTTTTCGACAAAGAAGATATGAACCACCAAGATAACACTGTATCAAACGTAGCAATCGCAACAAAAGTGAATGTATAGCTGTCATTGAAGGCGGTGAGAACCAAGCCGCTATTTATATCCACCTTCGTATATAGTAAATTTCTTTTTTTTTCTTTTTTTTTATTTTTATTTCACATTCATTTTTGCGGGGTTCATTTCTTTATTTTTTTTGTTTTGGGTCAGAGTTAAGTGAGGGGGGGTTCGGTTTATACAAGACTGTATACTTTAAATAGACAAATGGCGCTGTGATATCTCCGAGCTTGTGCTTCATAAAAGTAAAGCAGCTGTTTAAGTCCGTGCTTCGAATACTGATCTAAATTTTTCAATTTCCATATACTGTAAAGTCGAATTCCCCGTAAAGTAAAAATAACACACACACACACACACACACACACACACACACACACACACACAAAGAGAATATGGAATACCCGCTAAAGAACCTCAAGTTACGACCATAATGTAGTGAATCGGCCATATTGAGCAAGCTTCTACGTGACTTCAATCTTTACATTAAGGAGCCAAATATCAAATAAGCTTCGGTTTGCAAACGAAACGGCGTCACATGTTTCAAATATCATGACTTGAACTTGTAGCCAAATACTTGTACAAAATTTTGCGAGACTGGCTCTGTGAGGTAGAAAGTAAAACATTTGGCTCATCGACAAGCAGAGCTCCAAGGCTCTTTTATTTTTACATTCATAGATGATGCTTGTTATAATTATTCTCAGTCAAGAATTCATTTCATTCAAATTAATATATGTACATTGCGAAGTAGATAACTTATCGTATCAGCGCCTTACTTAGATAAGATCTCACCAGTTTCAAGAGTCTTTTCAAATCTCTCTCTTTC